ATATTTTATGTGATTTTCTATAAAATATGTGGCACATAACATATGTGAAAAAAATCTTAAAATATGCGCATATATTTACGCCACATATTCCTGGACACCCTACCTGTTGTGTAACTTGATCTTCAGAAATCCGATTGACAGAGATCTCATGTTTTCTTATCGTATTTTACGATTTCCTTTAAAGTTTACGTTAACATATCAAAAATTCAGTGTTATGTCTTCAGTTGAAGAACAACCAGCAAAAAAGATTCGTTTAAATTCAGGAGGGTCGATCCCATCAAATGATGTAATAAATAATAAAGTCAGTTCAGAAGGAAAGATGACTCGTGAAGGGGATGTTGGAATTACTGAGTTTGTTGATCCAACAATTCCTGGATTTTCTGGTGATATCAAACAAAGGTAACTAATACTTCTATTTATAATTTATCGAATTATCTTGTTAATTATTATTAATTGTCTAGATTCTCCGATTTTTTGGTTTATGAAATTGATAATGCCGGGAATATCGTTCATCTTACAGATTTCAATCTTCCAGAAATAAAATCTACAAATATTATCAATTCTCGAGCCATTGAGACACAAAAAGAAGAACCTGTTAAAAAAGTAATCATTAATTTAAATATGATTCTTTTTAATGAGGAATATATTATTAAACATTAATTTTGTTAGGAATTATCAGATGAACAAATATTTCAGGAAATGAGAACTTTGCTTGATGAAGAAACTTCATTACAAGTTCAAAATTTACTAAATGGTAAAAATAATTTCGTCGATACAACGGTAAATATTATCTTATTTATCTTTTTTTGAATCATTTTCTAAAATTATTAATTTTTTTTTCAAGGTTGAAAAAGATAAAGAAAAAAGGACAGCTATTCATCGATTCTTTAAGAATTATTTTGGCGATAAATTGAACACAGAGACAAAAGATGGTACAATAAGGATCAGTATGCACACTAACGAGACAAGGAAAGGTTAAGTATAAGGAGTATTTCTTTATTTTGTTCATTTTTACAAAATGAATAACTTATACATTTATTTACAGACAAAAGAAATAAGCAGCAAAAAAATGACGCTTGGGATGCATTGGGTGGAAGTTTTTGTCAGTTTACTTTATATAAAGAAAATATGGATACTATGGACGCCGTTAACTCTTTGAAAAAGCTCTTAAAGTGTGGCTTTTATCAAACTTTTCAAAGTTAATTTGTTAAATTTTTTTAGATTAATATATTTATTTATTTATTTATTTAGAGTTCATTCAAAAACATTTTCTTATGCTGGTACGAAAGATCGTCGCGCCATAAGCGTACAAAAGATAACCGCAAATAGGATAAAGGCTGAAAGATTGCTTGGAATCAATCGAAAGTCAAGAGGAATGAAATTAGGAAATTTTGAGTATGTTGATTAAATTCATATATCATAATTATTTATTAAATTTTAAAAAGTTTTTTTTTTTTCCTTTTTTTCAATTGATGCATTAGATACGTTAAGGATCCATTGAGACTTGGCGAATTGGGAGGGAATCATTTTGTTATTACATTAAAGTAATTTATAAATATCTTTTTTCTTTTTGGATTAATGATTACATTATTCAAATTTACGAATCGTTATGAATTATATTCAGAAATATTCAAGCAGGAAACGAAGGAATAATTACAAAAGCCATGGATTCTATGCAATCACGTGGATTTATTAATTATTTTGGTAAGAATCAAATAAATCATGCTTTTAGCAACTCTTAAAATGTATTATTTCTTTATGTTAATTCAATTTATTAGGCATGCAAAGATTTGGTAGATTAAGAGGGTTGTTAAAGTGAGTAATCATTGATTTATATCATTTATATTCACTCTCATTTTTCTGATGTATTTCTAAATTTGTTCTTTTAAGTACCTTATTGGAGTTTTACACACCTATGATGAATGAAGAAGATAATGATGAACTCAAAATCCAAAACTTACCAAATCGTTCGACTTTTGAAAGATTAAAATTGTTAGAAAATGATCTTTATAATTTGACAGCTGAAAAAGTTTTTACGAAAGATTATCTTCAAACTATTTTAACTTCTCAAAATGATAAATGTAGTTGTCTGTCAGAAACAACAAACACCGTAAACGATAATTGCTGTAGTAGGAATATTTCATGTGAAAGTAAGGAGATCTATAATCTTGGAAATAACATTAAATCAAATGAGAACTTCACCGAAAGGTTGCTGATTGATTATAGAGAGAAGGTTGATAAGTTATTAGAAGAACTTGGATTTGATAAAAATTCCGTTTAAACCTTTACTAAGGCAACAGTTTTAGGTTATTCGTTTTATTTTGAAAGGAACTTTAAGAAATTGATGAAAACAATTTATCAAAAATATTTAAAGATGTATAGATATGTGGATGTAGGCAATAAATAACATGCCTTGAAACATAAAAGCAAAAAAAAAAAAAATAGAGTGAAAAAAAAAGTATTTATCTTCTATATAACAATAGGTTTATAATAAACGGTGGTAACATGCTGGAATATAAAAAGAGAGGTTGTCTTCTTAAATAAAATGATTAAACAATGCGAAATGTGAGGTCTATCATCTTTTACCTTTTTACGATATCTTGTGGTTCCGGCCACGGCTATAACACCATCTCGTATTGAACAAGCGTATAAATGATTCAACACAACATGATTGGGTGCGGGAAGTACACTATTATCCACCTTAGATACGGTCGAACTATTTAATATCACCTTTTCTAAATGAGGTGGTAAAGTAGGTGGCTGATCTTCAGCCATGCACTCCTGATGTTCAAAAGGATCATCAAAGATTTTACCATTCTCTGATACGCTAAGAGAGTGTGCATATGCAAGAAGATATCCAGGGATGTCATCACTATATTCGCCAGGAGGTGTATTTGAAAGAAATCCTAAACAATCGGAAAGTTTGATTAGAATATTTTATTTGTTTATTTTTTTAATAAAAAAAAATTTAATTACCATCGGAGTCTAAGCTTTCTTTTTCTATAGAATTACAATCATCATCTTCATAAACTTCTAAATAATTGACTAAATTTCCATCTGGATCCGTCGCTGTTGAAAGGTCATTAGAACACTTCCATTCATCATCTACGATAAATTTAAGTTTATGTGTTCCAGGTGGTAAATTGATAACGGTGGTAAAGTCATTCGTGCTGCGCGACAATGATTTTTATAAATGCAATTAACCTTATGATTCAAATCTATATATATATATATATCTATATCAAAAATAAAGGAGACACGAACCTTTTATTTAATCTTACATTATACTTCCAATCATTAAAAGTACCGGTAACAAATACGCTATTTCCACCCTGACTCCAGGTAATGATAGTGGGAATTCCTTTTACTTTTGCGTCTACGTAAAATCCAATTTGAAAAAAAAAAAGGAAAATGAATTAAAACATTGTACGGACAATTAAAGCATGTTTCTGTCATTAGTGTCCAAAAGGGATGTTTTATTCTCTCCCAAGGAAAATAAACCTTGTGCATTAACACTTGTCATTGGTGCTAACCCTCCAATAGAACTGAAATCATGAATTATTTTATTAGAATTCTTGTAAGACGGCTCTCCCGTCACAATAGATGAACGCCGGGAAGATGTAGTTTTTGATGATGAACTACTCAATCCGGTTAAAATGTCAATTTCGTTAAAACTTGAAGTCAAACTTCCATCTTGACTGTTTCCATAATATATATCTTCTATTCCATCGAATTTTTTATACTCTTCATGTGAAAGCAAAGGTGAACCGACGAAAGGAGAATTTGAACCGAAATCATGAAACGAACTCTTGATTGGTTGACCAGTTGCAACAGGTTTTGTAGGTTCTTCTTGAATTGCTTCTGGTAATGTTCCGTTACGATGTTCTCTTGTTACTTTCAATCCGGGTTGGTTATTATTGTTGATATTCGTTGATGGTGTATTTCCCATTGATTTTTTTTAAAAATAAATAAATAAATAAAAATAAATAATAAAAAAAAATAAAATAAAAAAAAATGAGAATTCAAGAGGAGAAGCTAATCAAAAAAATAACCGAAATAATTTATAGTTGATCGGACCCGATCGACCTCTCAAGATGATCAAAACGATCTCCTGATAAATTGTCCGATCCGGAACAGCAATTTCACATAACATGTGTCACATACTATCGCATAACTCAGGCCAAAAATCATGTGGGTTGTGTTCTAGCAACATGATGAAAATTTTTCCCTATTCGGGACGACGTTCAGTTAATATGTAACCTCTCGGATTCAATCTAATCTTAAAATTTTCTCACATTTTGAAAAAATGGCTTCGAAAGATAATGATACGAGTACTATGGGTATATAATCTTTAGAATTACCCCAATTGATATAAAAAAATTAACATTTCAAGATGGTTGATTTATTGTTCGTTTATAACTTTTAAGTGAAATGTCCAGTGTGTAACCAAACTGTTGACATATCGGAAGTTAATGAACATATAGACAGTGGTTGTAAACTACCTGCGAATCCTGGAGCTGAAAGTACTAAACCTTCAACGAAGAAAACTCCTACCAAAAAGCTAACTTTAATGGCAAAGGTAGTAATGAAATAATATTTTAATTTAGTATCCAAAAAAATAAAAAATAAAATATCTCATTTATTTCTTTTTAGAATGATTTCTTTGCCCCTAAATCGGTAAAACGTAGGAGTATAGATGATATCGAACAAGCATCATCAAGCAGTACTTCACAAAATGCTCAATCTCCTTTGCCCATTAATCAAGAAAAAAATAATGTCGCACAGTCAGCTTCTTTGTCAACTAGTAGTCGCCCTAGCAAACAAATCAAGACTATCAATACAAAAGTTGATGTGGTACCACTGGCGGCAAGAGGTATCTTGATGTCTTAAATAAACAATATTTGATTTATTATTAATCATTGCCTTCTATTTTCGATCTTTAAAGTTCGACCGAAAACTTTGGAAGAGTTTATAGGACAAAATGAATTAATTGGCAAACATGGGTTTTTGAAAAGTTTGATCTTGAATGACAAAATACCGTTAGTATTATTATTTCAATTTTTATCATCTCGGGGATATCTTATTAAAACTAAATTTTCTTGTTTAAGTTCGATGATAATGTGGGGACCAAGCGGTGTGGGAAAGACAACTCTTGCAAAGGTGAATACAAAGTATTGTAAATTTCTGTTATTGTTGAATCATTAATTATGAATTCTAATCATATAATATTGGCATTTATCCAAAGATAATAGCAAAGTTAACACAATCTACCTGTAAAGAATTTTCCGGAATTACACACGGTAATTATTTTCATTCGAATTTTGCAATTGTTAATTCTTGAACATTTTTTTTTAAATATATATATATATATATATTTTTTTAGCTACTGCTGATATCAGGTATGTATTATTTTGGAATATATTTAAAAAATATCTTTAGTTAAATTTTATTGTTAATTAGGAAAGCATTTGACGAAGCGAAAAATGAGCAAAAATTGTCAGGCCGGCGCACAATAATTTTTTTGGATGAAATGTAATTTCTCTCTCTCTTTTTTTTTTATTCACAATATTGATATGCCATTCGTAGCTATGGTTAATCAATATCCTGTTAATTTTTAGACATCGATTTAATAAAGCACAACAAGATTTATTTCGTAAGCATATATTTAATTATATAATGTTCAATTGCGATTTAAATTAAACTTATATTAATTACATTTTTAGTTCCATACGTCGAATCTGGAGGTGTCACACTTATAGGTGCCACAACAGAAAATCCTTCTTTTAAAATTAATTCAGCACTTCTCAGTCGATGTAAGGTTGTCGTTTTGAGCAAACTAACGACAGACGAAGTGTTAGCCATCTTAAAAAGGACATTGAACGAAATTCGAAAACAAAAACATCAGAGCATTCAAACTGAAGCATCAAGTGCAACTTTGTCGACTGAAAATGATGATAATCAAGTGTTTGAAGAAGCGTTAAGATATTTGGCGGTGATGAGTGATGGTGATGCACGGGTTGCACTTAATTCATTAGAAATTGCCATTAATATGAAACCGGAGATACTGGAGGAAAATATTACCAAAGACGATATAAAATGTGTATTCCAAAAAACTCATCTAAACTACGATAGAGATGGTGAAGAGCACTATAACATAATTAGCGCATTACATAAAAGTATGCGTGGAAGGTAAAATAAATTTTATCGATCAAATTTTTTTTAGAATTTAATAGTCGAACTAATTTTAATATTTTGAATATTTTGCAGTGATGCAAACGGTGAATTTCCTAATCAATTTTGATTTAATTTATTATTTACATCACAATTGATTTCATATCTATAACTTATAAAATAGCAAGTTTGTATTGGCTTGGACGAATGCTAATTGGAGGAGAAGATCCTTTATTTATAGGTTCGTAAAGAAAGGATTTATCTTCATTTAACATTCATACGATAATAGTAATATTATGATTGTGATTATTAGCTAGAAGGCTGGTAGTATTTGCATCAGAGGACGTTGGACTCGCTGATAATAGTGCATTACCCTTAGTAATAATTTATAAAGCTTTATACGAAATTTGTTCACTTTAGATAATATTAATAATAACAATTTTTTTTTTTTTTAGGCAATGGCAACGTATCAAGCGTGTCAATTTATTGGCATGCCAGAATGCGAAATTAATCTAGCGCATTGCGTAACATATTTAGCAGAGGCAAAAAAGAGTGTACGATCATACAAAGCATATGGTTTGGTAATATAAAAATGAATATTATTTGTATATTTTAAATGCTCGGTGTGTTTTTATTCATCATCATTAATTCTAGGTTAAGAAAACCATTCAAGAGGAATATAATTTTCCTGTACCACATCACTTAAGGAACGCACCAAGTGGATTAATGAAAGTAAGCAATGTTTATATTTTGGTTTGGATACCAACAAGTTTTATTTCAATTATTCTATCTTATAGGAACTTGGATATAATTATGGATATAAATATAATCCAGAATATGAGGGAACTGTTCACCAAGAATATTTACCTAAAGAACTTAAAAACAAAGTATTTTTGGATATATATAAGGCAACAAAGGTAGATGATAGTAGAATTGAATTAAAAGAACAAGTGAAGCGTAACGAAAAGGTGGAATTTGGCGGAGAGAATATTGATTTTGATTTTCATTATCTATTTAATGAATCTAATGGAAGGCATAAATTTGAAATTACCGATAATCAGTAGTGTTAAGTGGAAGAATTCGTAACATTAATATTAATATAATCGGGTTGCTTATATTAAAGTCACTGTGATTATAGATAATATGTTATGGAATAAATACGGGACGTACATGACGTCATATTTTAACAAAATTTCCGATCTTGGACTAATGACAATGATGTTGATAAAGTTTATCGAAATTTTAATAAGTAAAAGAAAAAAACATTTTACAGTGGACATACATTACAATGTACAAGGCGGACAGATGGTAATGGAATTTTGATAGGTAGGAAATGAGTAAATTGAATAATGTAAATTTCTTTCAAAATTACATTAAAAATAAATCTTTGAATTTGAATTGGTAATACTTTTATACTTCACCTAAATTGGATTTTATTATTATATAACAATTACCGGGAAGGTTCATGGTATTCTATAATATGCCAATTAAGAATATTATTATATCAAACTATCAAACATTTCCGATTTTATAATTTTGTATGGGATAATTTTCATATTGTATTTAATAAATAGTATTAGTTTAAAGCTTTAATTTATATATCAAATATAATTCTAAAATTAATTAATTAATTTTATTAATTAAATTTAAAATATTAAATTTATAACGTTTTTTTAAATAATAAAAAATCTTTATTTAATATTATTTATTTAATGTTAAATAATATATAATAATTCTAATTTTAAATTCTAACAAATGGTATAAATATTTTTTTTTTTTGACTATTTAAAATTATAAAGTTTATTATAAAATATTATTTTTTAATTAACAATTTTTTAAAATTAATCTTAAATAGTAGTAAATTATAAATAAATTTACTTTTATTATTATTAAATAAAAAGTAAATGATATATTTTAAAAATTTAAAAATTTATTAATTCAAAATGAAAGTGAAGGACTATTAAAATACTATGCAACTTAATAAATTTATCAATCAGTCTGTTCACTTGTTATTTGAGTTAATGTGATTTTATTTACTATATTTGTTTATTATACACATAATTATACCTTTTTGCTGATTAATTAAACCATTTATGATCATTCCATATTTATCACTTTGGATTTCCTAACAGTTTCTATTACTTAGTATATTAAATACTAGTAAAACTTAATAATATTTAAAAATTAAACTTAATTTAATTAAAAATATTTATTATAAATAAATAATTTATTAAAATTAAAATTTTTTAGATATTATCTTTATTATTATTAAATATAAAAAATTTCTAAGCTTATATAGAGTATAGGTATCTAAATTATGAAACAAATATATTTATCACCAAGATTAAACTCTTTCGTCTTTAGTTTTACTATTTATTTTAGGAGGTTTGATTTAATTAATTGACAATCATTTGACCAATACTTAGATTAATGAATATTATTTTATTAACATAATTATTTCATTGATAAGTTATTTCACTGACAAAATATAAAATTTTCTTGTTCAAACTACTAAATAAAAAATAAAAAATATTTAAAATTTTATTATTTGTCAATAAAATAACCTATCAGTAAAATAACCATATCAGTAAAATAATAGTTGATAATCTAAGTATATCGGTAAAATATATCTGTTAGCTAAATGATTATCAGTTAAATGATTGTTAGTAAAATCATTATCAGTAAGTTGAATGCGATTTATTTTAGAAACTTAGAATTTTTTTAATAAAAATTTATTATTTTCAAATCTTATCTGTCACATAATTAATTTCTTAATTTCTTAATACTGACAAAAAATAATATTAATGCTAATTATATTATATGACCTTGATACATACACCTATATACAAATAGAAATTATTTTTAATTACCGTACTATTCCAAAAATAAGCACTACTTTTTTGCTATGGGAGTGCTTATTTTCGGAATATTTTTATAAAATTTAGATCAGGCAAAAAAATTTAAAGAAAATTTGCTGATCTTTGCCAATCTTTGTATAATGTAAATGTAGCGTAATGAGTAACGTGAAATATAAATCACGCGAACTTTCAAAAACTGGATTTAAAACTTGTTTTTGAATAACATGCCACAAAGAAGAAAGAGGAGGGTAAGAAAAGTTTCAACTAAACGTTTTAAAAGAATTAAAATTTGCCGCAATTCCTATTCTATAGAGAAAAAGCAAAAAGTCGTTAATTATGCTATTGAAAATGGAAGAAATAAAGCTGCAAGATACTTCAACCTTGATAGTAGTATGGTTGGTAGATGGATAAAAGCAAGCAAAAAGTGGTCTGAAAAGAACCAAAATATTAAAAAAGTTAGTTCCAGAAGAAAAGAATTTTTTCCTGAAGCAGAAAAAAAACTTTATGATTGGATCATAGAATAGAGAAAGAAGGGATTAGGTGTTACTTATACATCTGTAAGAATCAAAATGTTGGAAATTTTAAGGGAGCAAGAAATGATAAACATTTATGGTAATTCTGCAAATTTCAAAGCGTCTTGCCACTGAATATTTAGTTTTATGAAAAGATACAAGTTGTCTTGGCGACGCCATACTAAAGTTTCCCAAAAGCTTCCTTCACAAATTAATGAATTGCTAAGTAATTTTCAACAGTACATTATCCGACTTTGAACTGAAAAATCCTACGAAATGGCCAATATTTTAAATATGAACGAGACTCCTGTCTGGTTCGATATGACAGGAAACTTTACTATCGATCAAATAGGCGAAAAGACAATCCATATCTGCAGAACTAGAAATGAAAAAAACTGATTCACGATTGTTTTGACGTGTGCCGCAGGTAAGTACATTTTTAAGTATAGCATTAATTTAGAAACTGATTGGTATTGGCACAATCCGACTTATTATAATTGTCTAATTAAACTTTTTATTAAACATTTTAAAATTATTTAGACAAAACCAAATTTCTGCCGATTTGTATTTTTAAGGAAAAAAAATTCCCGTGTGGTGAACAGATTTTACCCAGAGTTTTCGTTTAGTTTCAGAAAAGCAGATGGATAAATACCAATCTGATGATAAAGTATGTTGATTATATCAAAGACCTGATCAATAATGACCCAGCAATTATTGTATACGATTCATTCAGAGGCCATTTAGAAGAATCCGTCAAGAAAAAATTTTGAGATCATAGTTTTGATATAGCGGTCATTCCCGGTGGTCTAACCAGCATATGTCAATCATTGGATATTACAATTAATAAACCTTTTAAGGACAATCTACGCAAAGAATGGCATTTATGAATGGTAGAAGGAGGAGCCGGAATGACTACAGTAGGCAACCTTCGTTATGCCAAACTATCTGATGTTTTTGGATGGGTAAAGCGGGCTTGGAAAAGGATTCTAGATGAAATGACTATAGAATCATTTAAAACCTGTAAGATATCATCATCTTTAG